TGGGATGACCCAGAGGGATGGGATGGGGAGGGAAGTGAGAGGGGGGTTCAGGATGGGGGACACATGTATATCCATGGCTGATCCATGTCAATGTATGGCAAAAACCACTACAATATTGTAATTAGCCTCCAATTAAAATAAATTAATTAATTAAAAAAAAAAGAAAAGGCCCTGGGAAGCTGAGGGTGTTCATGTTTTTCAGATGTCCAACTTCAAAGGGAGTTCAAGTCCTGATTTTGTCTTTGGTGTACTATGCAACATCAGGAATGTCCTTTAGTCTCTCTGGGTGCCAATTTCTGCAGGCAGGCACAATCCAACCAGAGTGGGCCTTTATGTATGTGACTCTAGATTTAGAATACTGGCAGGTCCCATCTGAGGAATGGAGAGTCATTGCTATTTCCAGTAACTTCTGCTGGGGCATGCCCTCACACTTTTCTACTTCCTTTTTCTGTCATTTCATTCTGCACCCCAATGACCTGACATGGAAATTTTGTCCCAGTCAGGGATTATCTCACCTGGAATGCTCCCAGTTTCAATTCTGAGAAACCCCAGGGGTTGGAATTACATTAGTCATCAGTTCTTAACTTTTCCTCTACTATAGAAATCTTTTCCATTCCCATAAGGCAATAAAAAGTAGGGAAATTGCTTCTGCTTCAGTCTAAGCCAGTGGTTTTGCCTCCTTCCTCCACCCCCTAAAACCACAAGAGACAATTGGTATTGTTTGGAGATGTTTTCGGTTGTTGAAACTGAGAGGGAGTGGCTACTGGCATCTACAGAGTGGAGGCCATGTTGCTAAACATCCTATAGTTTGCTGCACAGCCCCCCACATCAAAGAATTATCTGTCCAGAATGTCAAAAATTCTGAGGTCGGGAAGTCCTGGTCTAAGTTATCATCACAAGCAAGGTTCTTGGTGAAATTTTGGAGCTCATAGGACATGGTTGTTGTTAATTGTTTAATGGAACATGGAGGTGGCAGGAATTTGGACCCAGAAGGCTTCCATAGAGTAGGTGGATAGTGCCTCTGGGTTAGGAGACATCCTGTCTGAGGGGAGAGACATGTTTCTTAAGCTCATGCTTCGGGACCTGATCATCTAAAGAGGAATATAGGAGTGTGGTACATGACACCAACATTTACCTATTTCACGTGTACTTAACTGAGCTCTTCCCGTGTGACAAGTCTTGTGTAAGGGGGTAAGGACGTCCATCCTGAGTTCCCAATCCGTGCACCCAGTAGGGAATTTCCCTTCCTCTTGATCTTGTTTCCAGTCACAACTGTGGGCAGTTTTGGCCAATATACCTGTGAATAGGAAGGACGTTTCAGAAAAAGAAAAGACGGTATACAGAGGTTCCAAGGAGCTGAGTTGTTAACAACACTGGGTGTACTGTGGGCAGTGCTTAGAGAAGTAGAAGCCAAACTTGTGGGAAGAAAAAAATTCAGTTCCATCATAAGATCTGGTAAGTCCCTGGGTCAGGCAGGCAGTCACAGAATGGAGATGCTCTGAGAGGTGAGACTTGGTCATTGCTGTTGGACTTGGGCCTGGTGTCTGAAATTCCCTGAGTTGCATGGACTAAAAGAATCCAACACAGACAAGGCTTTGCAATATGCCTCGGAGCCCATGGTAAGTGTTCTATGAATATAATAGGAAGCAAGAAACCCTAGCATGTCCAGTGCAGCCTAGAAGTGCTCTGGTTACTTTCAAATGGAGATCCTTCTTTACCCTCCTTGTGCAATGGGATTCATTTGCTGTAGGGGAAGAAGGGGGAGGGACCTTAGAAAGTGGGAGTCCTTGTCAGCACTGGCATAAGTGGCAAAAGGCCAAATACTTGATTCTGAAGTGTCCTGCCAGGAACTTTAGAGACATTAACAAATTCCCTTTCTCATGTATTGTGATACAGGAAAAATAAGCATCTATAAGAAATAATATACACATTCATTCAACTAACATTTATTGAACACTTATAGTATACAGGAATTATTATAAGTACTCTAGGGATTATAAAGATGCATTTATTGATTATTTATTCATTCACTAACAGTCATATTTCAAACAGCCACTCTGGCATTGTGCTAAAAGCTTGGGGTACGGAAATAAAACACAACCCCTCAAGAGTCCATGGGGAAAAATCATTTCTTAAATTCCTACCGTGTACCAAGTCTCAAGCCGGGAACTTTCTGTACATTATTTCTACAATATCCATAACAACTTTGAGCCTATTTTATAGGTGAAGAAACCAAAGCCTCCAAAGTTTAAGTCAATTGTATGGTATTTCCTCAAAAAATTAAAAATAGGATGACCACCTGATTCAGCAATTCCACTTCTGGGTATATACTCAAAAGAATTGAAAGCAGGGTCTCAGTATGGTCCAACCCATGACTGTAGCAGCATTATTCATAATCACCAAAAGGCAAAAGCAACCCAAGTGTCCACCAGCAGAAGAATGAACAAAAATGTGGTATATGCATACGATGAAATATAATTCAGCCTCAGAAAGGAAGGAAATCCTACATTTCTTTTTTTGTTTTTTTACATTTCTTGCATTACAACATGGATGAAACTTAGTGACATTATGCTAACTGAAATAAGCCAGTCACAAAAAGACAAATACTGAATGATTCATTTTAAATGAGGTACCCAGAACAAAGTCATAGAGACAGACAATGGAATGGTAGTTGCCAGGGTATAGGGGAGCAGGGCATGGGGAATATCTGTTTAATGGGCACTCCATTTTTCAAGATGAAAGGAGTTCTGAAGATTGGCTGCTTACAGATGTGAATGTAAACACTAGTGAACTGAACGCTTAAAAATGAATAAGATAGTAAATTTTTCTTTGGCAGCACTGATTGGCTTGCAGGATCTTAGTTCCTCGACCAGGGATTAAACCTGGGCCACAGCAGTGAAAGCAGGGAGTCCTGACTATTGGACCACCAGGGAACTCCCCATGATGACAAATTTTAATAACAAATTTTAACAATAGCCCCTGGATAGCACAGGGATCTATATCCAATATTTTGTAATGAACTTTAATGAAAAAGTATAGAAAAAAGAATGTAGATATATATATAGGTATATGTATGTATAACTAAATGAGTTTGCTGTACACCTTAAACTAACGCAATATTGTAAATCAATTATACATCAATAAAAAGGATGGCAAATTTTGTTATATATATTACTCCATAATAAAACAATTTTTTAAAAGTTTAAGCCACCTATCCCAGATCTGATTCTAAGGTCCCATTTTTCTTCTCTTATAGAAACAAAGATAAGGAAGAAAGGAATGTGTCCTTGTGAAAAAAGTGAAAGTGTTAGTTGCTCAGTCATGTCTGACTTTCTGCCAGGCTGACCCCATGGACTAGCCTGCCAGGCTCCTCTGTCCATGGAATTCCCCAGGCATGAATACTGGAGTGGGTTGCCATTCCCTTCTCCAGAGGATCTTCCCAATCCAGGGATCAAACCCGAGTCTCCAGCATTGCAGGCAGATTCTTTACCATCTGAGCCACCAGGGAAGCCCAATGTGTCCTTAGAGGAATCCAAACAAGGAATAATTTACTAGTGTGGCATCCTTTGCCTCCAAACACAATAGCATGACTATTTTTCTCTGGGTAGTTGGGCCAGAAAGCAGTACTAGCCAGCAGCCCCAGTCTCAGTCAAGGTTTAACATCGTTTACAGAGTCTGATGCAGTTGAAGATTCAGACTTCTCTCAAAATCTCTGTTCAGGAAGATCTTTACCCCTTTCCCAGTCTCATCCATCCCCTTCTACCCACTCATGCTGCTTTGCAACTGCTCCCAGCTAAGAACAGAGGTCACTCCTAGTGGAGTCAGCTTCTATGAAGATGGAGGTGTGAAGCCCCAGGCAAACCTGTAAAGCAGGCAACAGTTTTTCTTTCAGGCCTTGGGCTTTCCTTTTCTGCAGCTGGCACAGGGCTAGGAGTTAGGAGATTTGAGTTGCAACTCCTGCTACTAACTTGCTGTGTGACCCTGAGAGACAGCTGCCTTCTCTGGGCCTTGGTCTCCTCATCTGCCACATGAGGGGTTTGTTCTACAAGGTGTCTGAGGCTCCACCTGCAGTGCTGATCCTGTGGGAGCTTTGAAGTCCTGACCCCTTCACTCCACTGCCTCCCCAGGGTCCGCCTGCTCTGTCAGACCTTCTGTTTCGGCAAAACTAGTCTGGACAGGCTCTGATACATTCATTCTCACAGAGGTACATTTACTCCCAAGAGTATTTGCGTATCCACTGGGATCCAGATGAGAGGGAATGAGGCTCTAATTTGGACTTGTTTTGATTGCAGGAGTAAAGGGCTTTTGAAGGGGTTAGGGGGGAGGCAGGGGAGGGACCCAGTCCAGATGCCAGCTGGCAAGGCAGGGCCTGGTCTATGACTCAGCCCTTGGGTGCAGATCTCAGCACACCTCTGCGTGAGTAGCCCAGGTGCAAACCCAGCAGGTATCCTTCTCTCCTTCCAGGGACTCTGAAGTGATGCTGGCAGCCCCTCTGTCTCTGGAGAAGTGAGTTCCAGCTCAGATACTGATGAAGTCATCGAGATCCCCAGTTTGAGCTGGAATTTGGCAGGAGGGCCAGTGGGGCAGCTGTTTGTGGTTTCTCTTTTCCTCTGAAGGAAAGTCTGAGCAGATGATCTCCTAGGTGTTGCCTGTTTCCATGTGAGGGAAGCAGGATATGGCTCCGGGTCAGTGGAATGGGAGGGGGGTTGGCAAGGGGAGTCTGGGGCGACATACAAGTGACATATTTCATGAGATGAAAGATCCCATCTTCTTTCAATAACTTCCTCAACTCTGCTTTTGTTCTTGGGAAACGTCGTTTCTCCCCTAATATTTATTCATAAGGATTTTTGTTTTTGGAGACCTTGAGGAACAGCTGCTTTGGGTCTGAGGGAATTCACTCCACTGTGAAGGCGGCTTTTCATCTACTCAGGGCAGCCAGGCTCCTCATCAAGAAACGTCAGCTCCTCAGGGTGGGGGGGCCTCCAGCGCCAGCGGGATTAATGTGCAGTCGTGGAGGGCTCCCAGAATCCTCTGCTCCTGGCCAGGCAGCCCTGAGGTTTGGGCCCAGGGCAAGGGCAGCTTCAGGAACATAGAAAGGCACGTGACAGGAGAGGCATTGGTGTCTGAGGACCTCATGGAGCCTCTTTGGCAAGCAAAGCTCTCCACTGGAGGCTCCGAGAGCTAGGAGATCCAGATGGTCCTTATCTTTCAGAGGCTTGTGTCTAGTGGGAGAAACCAGGGACTTCTACCCACCAGAAAACAAATCCAGTAAGTGCTCAGTGGGGAGTGCAGAGGGAAGACAGAATTAGAAAAAAATGTGCGCAGGGTGGTTTTTTTGGTTTGTTTTTACTGACACGTAGTTGATTTCACAATGTTGTGTTAATTTCTGCAAAGTGATTCAGTTATACATATACATACAATTATTATGTTCTTTCCTACTATGGTTTATCACAGGATATTGAAGAGTTCCATATGCTATATAGTAGGACCTTGTTGGTTAGTCATTCTATATATGATAGTTTGAACCTGCTAATCCCAAGCCATCCCTCCTCTACCAGCTTTCTCCCTTGGCAACCACAAGTCTGTTCCCTATGTCTATGTATCTGTTTCATAGATAAGTTCATGTAATATTTTAGATTTCACTTATAAGTGATATCATATAGTATTCGTTTTTCTGTTTCTGACTTACTTCACTTAGTATCCTAATCTCTAGATCTATCCATGTTGCTGCAAGTGGCATTATTTCATCCTTTTTGTGGCTGAGTAATATTCCACTGTATACATGTACACCTTCTGTATCCATTCACCTGTCAATGGACATTGACATTGTTTCCATGGCACAGTGTGGTTTCAACTGGGAAGTCAGGAATTCTAGAATGTCAAAGTCAAAAGCGACTTTAAGATCTAGTCCAACCCTGTTACTTTCCAGATGGAGAGACTGTGAGAAGTGACTTGTCTAAAGTCTGCATCCAAGACGAGATTCAAATACAGGCCTCTGGCCCGAGCCCAGGGCTCTTTCCTTTACATCTGAGCTCTAGATGTTTGGTTTGCCCTACATTTTAGGTGTGCAGGCTCAGCACAACTCACCAGGACTCACTAACCCTGCTCCTCCCAACTAGATCCTCCTCAGTCACAATCTTTTTGGCCTGGGTTTCCCCTCATCCTTTGCTGTTCACTGCTTTCTTGTTTAATGCCCATGTGAGCAAACTATGCTTTGTCACAAGCCTCTATAATAATGCTCATGGGATTGTGGATGTAAGGCTGCAGGTTCCGCATGAAAGAGTCCTGGGAAAGTGTTTGCCCCAGAAGGGAGCATTGACCTTCCAGAAAGAAAGATGTAGGCAAATCAGGACTGTCCTTAGTTCTTCCTGAGGCTCTGAACTGGTTCCTCTCATTTTGCACCACGGGCTCTTCAGCTCTTCAACCCGACACCAAGCCCCATCTTCCCGGGCTTTCACCTGCTCCTGTCTTCCTGGTTACCTTCTCTCCACCTATCCCCTCCCCCAGTTCAAGTAGGAGCTTTTATTTATTTATCATTTAGGCTGCTTTGGATCTTAGTCATGACCCTCAGGATCTTGGTTGAGTCCTGCAGGGTCTTTCGAGGCATCCTAGGGACTCTAGTTGTGATGCGAGCTCTGGAGCATGTGAGCTCAGGAGATGCAGCACGTGGGCCTAGCTCCTCCACAGCATGTGGTATCTTAGTTGCCTGACCAGGGATGGAACCTGCATTCCCTGAATTGCAAGGTAGATTCTAAACCACTGGACCACAAGGGAAGTCTCCAGGTTGGAGCTTTTAGAAATGTTTGTCATCGGTCCATTGGATTAACTTGGTCATTTGGATTAATGCTCCTAATTACACACCCACCACTGGCTCAGTTTCCGCTTCTTAAACCCTGAACACACTCCTGATGTTTTTCTAAATTCTAAAGAGACATGGAGAGGATTGTTGGATATCTGCATTAAAAGGGAGGAAATGGAAGATAACAGTGGTGAAGATCACAAGCAGGATAAAAGAGTAGAAACTAGGTGATGCAGGTAAAAAAAAAAAACTGAGACAGGAAAAAAAAAAAAACTAGGTGATGAATCGAGCCATCTGGCTAGGCTCTCCTGCTATCTTGCTGAGTGGTCTTGGGCAAAATCTTTAACATCTCTGTGCTTACTTTTCAGTTGAGGATAATATGGCCTATCTCATCAATCTTTAACATAATTTAAAGATCAAGCAGGATAGCAGGTTTAAAATTTTCTTGGGAGTTCCCTGGTTGCCTAGTGGTTAGGATTCTGGGCTTTCACTGCTATGGCCTGGGTTCAGTCCTTGGTTCAGGAGCTGAGATCTTACAAGCTGTGTGGTGTGACCAAAAAATAAATAAACTTTCCTTAATTTAAAAGAATATTGGAAAAAAAGAATATCACCACTAAATAGCATCATTATTAAGATTTCACACTAATCTTATTATATATTATATAAAATATATTTTAAACCTACCCTCCTTCACCAGTGTCCTCTGAGATAGCTAACTAGTTAACCAAGTCTGAATTTCATCTCCTTTAATATTTTCTGTTCTGGGGAGAGGGGACTCAGGAGCAGTGCCTTCAAGTGTGGCCTTCAAATCTAAGGAAGGGGAGTATTTGGAGTTGTTTCTTATTTTTTTGTGTGACATAAAGATTACTGAAAACCAATCCATGTGTAAATGTGTACAGGTGTATGTATGGTGTGCCAATATTTAGATCTTATCTCATATTTTATTTGCATACCACAGTCACAAAACCATTCATGCTTAAGATTAGGAAACCAGTGTATACACAAGGGTTCTTCTTCTGTCAAACTGTTGCGGGTACAAGGAAGCCAGCCTGGAGGCAGGGGTTCCTAGGAACAGTACACCAGGGTGAAGATCTTGGAGCTAGAAGTCGGGACACTAATCCATTCTCACCTTTGTCTTTCTACCGTGTATGCAATCACAGGCAAGTTCACTTCCCTGCCTTAGTTTTCCCATCTGTAAAATAGCCAGAATAAACTTATCTGAAACCCTCCATTCAACCCAATTCAACTGGGGATGAAGTTCAGGCTCTTCAAGTGTTTGGGAAGGAAGATGCTGTGTCAACCCCAAATCATTTTAATATTCTCTGTTTCTAAAAGGAAGGGGTGTAGAGCTTCTTCAAGCTCAGCACCTGAGTGGTGGCTGGGGCCTGCCAGGGCCTCCATCTGCCCACGTCAGAGAATACAGTAGGATCGGTGGTGCCAGAGGTGGATGCACCAGAGAGGGAGCTATGCTTCCCCAGCTTGTCAGCGTGTCACTAGGGTGTTCCTGTGGGAACCAAGAGCAGAGGCAGGAGGCCCGAGGCGTGGGAGGGAGGGAGGAGGGAGGAAGAGAGAGAAATGGAAGAGATGAAGGGGTCTCTGCCAGTACCACATTCATCCCTGTCAGGAGGAGAGCTCTATCAAACCAAGGCCAGGCCTATAAATCAGGCCATAATTAGTTGCAAAGAGAAAGCTTTAACATCCTCATCAAATTGATTAATACATCTTGCAGCTCAGGACAGGTTGGCCCTGCCTCAGAAAAGCTGCAAGCCCGCCCAGCTGGGTGGGGATGGAGTAGGGAGAAGGGACAGCTCTAGCTGCGGCTACACAGAGCCTGGTGAGTTCTGCCCCACCGTCTCCTCGCTGGAAGAAAGCTCTGACAGGTGGTAGCCAAGGCCAGTACTTAGTCCAGGAGGTCATCAGGGGCCTGGAGCCTCAAGAATCTAACGGATATGTTGGTTTTGCCAAAGAATTAGTCCTGATACCACTGGCAAGCTATTTTTTTTTCCTTCTGGGTCTCAGTTTTGCCATCTATAAAAAGGACATGTTGGATCAGAGGAACTTTGTTTCCTTCCAGTTCCGACACCAAAAACATCTGTGAGTCCAGTGGACAAGGGCATCTGGAGGTCATGGCAAGTGAAGACCTGACTACAGGTTCAGTTTCTAAGATAGCCAATGGTAGGTCAGGAGTTTGGGATAAGCTTAAATCATTTGGTCTAATTCAGGCTTGTGATTACCAAGTTTTGCTGGTGTGTCCTTTCCTAAGGCCCAAGCAGCAAATACCTTTCATCTTTCAAGCCAGAACAGAGAGAAAAGACATAGACCAACTTGGTTTCACGTCCTGGCTCAATCACTGATTAGCTGTGTGTTTGGGAAAAGTTACCTAACCCCTTCAGTTTCCTTCTCTGTAAGATAATTATGTCTCCCTTCCTGGGTCATCATGACAAGTAGATAAGATTTATGGTCCACAAGTAAGAGCAAGTACTATTATTATTCAGCAGACTTTTGATATCTTAATAATGGCACCTAAATCACATGGAGACTGAAAAAGTAGTCCAGTAAAAAAAAGTAAAGCCCTGATTCCCCACAGGACATCCAACTAGTCACCTTCCTGGACTATAACCTGAATAGGCAGCATATTGTTCTGTAAAAAGTTCCAGGACTTGAACTTGGAAGATCTGGGTTCTGATCCCACCTTTGCAGCTTATGAGTCTTCAAGCAAGACCCTTCACCTTTCTGAACCTTGCTTTCCTGAATCAGGAATGATTTCACATTCAATCAGATAATGTGTGGAAAAGGTCCTCATAAGATAGAAATCATTATTCAGATATAAAGCATTGTTCAAACATAAGCAATATTATAGGTATCTGTCACTCTTGCTTACTGCTGACTGCCCTCAGGTCTCATGTCTGGAAAGACAAATCAAATAGTTTCTTTTCAAACCCCTGAGACATTATGTCTTCTACAAATCACACTTTTCTGGGTTCCAGCTTTAACAAAATCTCCATCTTTATAATAAATGAAGATTCTCTATTTGGTGGTGTTTGTGTCACTATAGGTTGATGTAACATTATAAAAAATCCAGTCATTCTTCTTTCAGAATAATTGAATGGTTGGACACATGGCTGTACATATATATATATATAATGTATATATAGATGAGTGTATACACACACACACACACACACATACATGTACATAAGTAACTAAGTTCTTGGTAAAAGAATGGAGGAAGGAGTGATGTGGACCACTTACAAGCTGGGACCTTAACAAATGGGTATGCCTCTTTTATACTTTTTGTTCTTCCTGGGACCCAGGACACACATGTACTCTCAAAGCAGTTTGGATCCAGCAGACAAAGACCACAATGGAAAAGCAAGATGGTGGGGATGGTGGAAAAGCAAGAATGAAGGAACCTGAGTCCTTGAATGACCCCATCAAGGAGAGCTTCTTGCCAACCTGGAACTTGGACTACTCTGAGAGAGAAAAATAAACTTCTATCTTGTTAATTTGTTAAACTTCTATCATGAGACATCTTTATTATGAGTTAAATACTTCATACTAATTATTTATTTGCATTGCTTCTCCCCCAGAAATCCAGAAATTTCCTTATACATCCTATTATGTCTAGGTCAAAGTGCCAAAGAAGACACTTTAGGAAAAAAAAAAAAAAAGAAGACACTTTAGGAGATTCCACTGTTCCTGTTGTTTCTGAAGGCTGGGTTTGCATCTAGGTGGGAGTTATCTTCTGGTAATAACTTTATTAAAGAACTCCTGGTCTATATACCCCCTAAGAATAATCAGCTCTATATACCCCCAACAATAACAAGTACATTTCCTTGTACCATGCTGTCATAACAAAACCTACTCTATTCCTGGAAAGTAGCTGCAAGTAGAAGCCCACGGTGGGGAACACAAAGCAGAAAATAAGAGAACTGTAGATGGAGGACACCTGAGGGACCCACAGGAATCTGAACTGTGGTTCACCTGGGCCAGGCTAACAGGCAGGGAAAACTCAGGGGCCATATACCGAGAGAAATGGACCAGAGGTACCCAAATGACTCATCAAGGGCCTCTGATAGAGGAAGTGGAATTTTCAAAGTCTGCCCACTGCTCTCTTAATGCTTCGAATCCCCAAGAAAACTTGACCTTTGCTGGCTGACTCGCTGGCTTCCTCATCCGTTTGTCATCATCAGTCAAGATTTTTACATAGCCTGTGACATTTAGAAAGCCTTCCTCCTCACATGCACCCCTCCCCTTTTAGAATGTGGTCCTGGGCAGACTCAGAATTGCTCTTTGAAACATTTAAACTGAGCTCATGATTTAGAATGTGTGGACAGAATACCGTCTTTCAAGAGCCAGGAGCTATGGGAGTCTAGCCGACATGGGATCATGGGGAAGAGGAGAAAACGAAGGAAGGACCTGGGGCCAAATAGCCACAGGTGGGAGTCACAGTGGTGGGGAGGGCTGGTCTCGCTTTGTCACACCATTGGCCCAAATCACAGGTCAGGGCCGGAAGGGAAGTGCCAGTTGCAAATGCTTCCACCTCATCTCACAGCTCACCAAATATTATGGCCTAGCACATAAAAACCAGAATGCTAAGCTGCCAGGAGTGTTAAACTCAAGGAGCTGTGACCAGAAGCAGGCAGGCTCAGGGGACGGGAGGAGGGAGGTGGCTGTGGCGGGCCAGCGGCTCCCATTAAGCCCCATGGCTCTCAGGCAGCAACTGAAACCAAGCAGGAAACTTGGCCCTTGCCACCTCTCCACCACGAGAGCATCAAGGGGAGTCCCGGGCCTCCCAAGCAGAAGCACGCTGCCTCTAAGTAGCAAATAAAGGCTTTCAGGCCACATAAATCAATGAAAATTATCAGGAGTCAAGGTGAAAAATCTATCTTCACCACTTGGGTGTTTGAGCCAAGATTCTCGGTGATTTAGAACCGTATAATTAGAGTGATCTGATCTCTCTCTCTCTGTGTCTCTCTCTTTTTCCATCCTCCCTTCCTTTTCCAGACAAAGTCCTCTTGGATGAGGCAGGTTCTCCTCTGGCTGGAGGCTAGTGCCTGCACCTGTCAGCTCAGCACCCTGATGGATCTCTGTGCGATTTGCCTCGGCCCTGCCCGCCTCTTAGTGAGCACTCTGGCCCCGGGGTAGGTATGAGTGGTGGGTGGGGAGCCCACATTCTGAAGAATGTTGCACAAGTGGAGAGGTGTGGCTGCTGACCCCAAGTAAAATGCGGTGTCATCCCAGAGGTGGAGGGCTGGGGTAATCAAAATCCCTAACTTTTGACCTTTGAACTGGGGAGAAGATTGATGAGGGCAAGAAAGTTTCCCAGCCCTGTGCCTCCTGCCAGATTAGGGACATAAGCCAGCAGCTGATGGAAAGTGTGAGCTGGGATCCAGAGAGGTCAGGGGCCTGGATTTGTCTCAGAAAACAGGACGTAGAGGAGTAAGGTGGTATGGGAAGAGAAAGTGGTGCTTAGAGTTGGAGACACAGGTTCAAATGCCGTCTCTATCACTTACTACCTAGATGACCTTGAACAAGTTTCTTAAGCTCGCTGAGACTCAGTTTCCACATTTTTAAAATTAAAATAATGATTCTCACAGATTGGTAGTGAAGACTACATAAAAGAATGATGTAAAGTTGCCTGGAACATGGCATCATCCACAACACGATACCTTCCTGCCTCTTGACTTCTTGCCCAAGGCTGTATAGCATGTCAGGGCAGGAGTCAGAGCTCCAACTGAGATCTCCTAACTTCTCATCCAGGACCTGGTATCTAGCTCAGGAGTCTACCCACTACAGGCTCTCAGTCTAGACAGTTTAATTGAATGGCAGAGCAGAATTAAAAGTTTCCTCTCAAAGGCAGAAGATTTCCTAAAGGAAATCAGTCCTGAATATTCATTGGAAGGACTGATGCTGAAACTGAAGCTCTAGTACTTTGGCCACCTGATGTGAAGAACTGACTCATTGGAAAAGACCCTGACACTGGGAAAGATTGAAGGCAGGAGGAAAAGGGAACAGAGGATGAGATGGTTGGATGGCATCACCTACCTGATGGACACAAGTCTGAGCAAGCTCCGGGAGTTGGTGATGGACAGGGAAGCCTGGCGTGCCTCAGTCCACAGGGTCACAGAGAGTTGGACACGACTGAGTGACTGAACTGACTAGAAGGCAGACTAGAACATGTCTGCTCTGAGGAAGGAAAACTCATACCAAGCATGGTGCTGTGCAGTGTACAATGCCAGGTTCAAATCCTGACTCAGCTATTTACAAGTCGAGACACTGGGCAACTCGCCAGGCCTCAGTTTCTCTCAATGTAAAGTGATTATAATTATAATTCTTGCCACAGGGTTCATAGAAAAAGGGTTCTGAGGTTCCTAGAAAAAGTGGTGGGATAAACTTCTGCAAATCACTCTATATGTATAATGGAATATAATGTATAATAGAAAATGTAATTATACTGTAAATAATTTCATTGACAGAATTTCTCATAGGAGAGAAACTCTGCTTAGAAAATGCAGGGATTTTTATCAGTGTCCAGTTCTGGGTTTTGGACCTTGTTGCCCCTGGGCCTCACTTTTCTGAGGTTAAAAAGGTCTCTTAGCCTCCCTGGTTAAGTTCCATCTTTAAAAAGAAATGTCTCTATTGCTTCTCCCTTGCTCACTCAAATACTTGAAAGATGAAAGAGGTAATAGATGTAAAGTACTCTGAGAGCTTTTAAACAAACAACCCCATTGTGAAAGTAAGCTATTACTAATACCACATCTCACATGCTAAAAAGCCTGCTTAATCCACCCTGCCCCCAGGAGCCCAAGAGGACATTTCCCTCTCTGTTTATCCTTTCTTGTCAATTGCCAAGTCTGTTCCACTTCGCTCGCTCTCTGCAGAAACAGAGCATATAGATCCCTCCTAAAAATACCCAAGACCAAATACCATGACCATATCAAAGGATTCCCTTCTTCCCATTCATCTCTCCAGCTTCCTTCAAAGACAGAGATGAACCCCCGTGATGGGCTAGAAAATGTTTAATAAACAGCTTTCCAGAAACAAAAAGTCTTGTCCTGATTTGTAGCACTTGCCAATTTCCTCGGTGTAAATACTCCCACCGTGCTTTCTTTCAAACTATCATTATGACATCATTGAGCACAGAACTGGGAAGAGATGTGTAGTAGCACATC